TGTAATGTCGAGACTCGAGACTACACGAGACTCTCGTCGAGTCAGGTCTCGTCTCGTCGAGACTTCACGAGACGAGACCAAAAGCCAGTCTCGTCTCGAAAAGTCGAGACGAGACGAGACCAGTCTCGAGTCTGGCGGCATCACTACTAGTTTTCCAGGAAAACTTTGAGATGTGTGAGACTGTATTTTTAATTAATTCAGTTATTGTAGGTTGATTTCCGAGATTCCTCATGCTATTATTTTCTGCTGGAAAAATTTGAAATTTTGGGAAAATGAACCTTCAGCCTTCCTACTCTTCACATGCAAAAAATTTCAAATTTTTGCTAGAATTTTTACTTTCCCTAGTTTTCCAGGAAAACTTTGAAACGTGTGAGACTGTATTTTCAATTAATTTAGTTATTATAGATTGATTTCCAAGATTCCTCATGTTGTTATTTTCTACTGGAAAAATTTGAAATTTTGGGAAAATGAGCCTCTAACCTTCCTCTCCACATGCAAAAAGTTTCAAAATTTTCCCTTTACTAGTTTTCTAGGAAAATTTTGAAATGTTTGAGACTGTATTTTCAATTAATTCAGTCATTGAAGGTTGATTTCCAAGATTCTTCATGTTGTTATTTTCCACTGGAAAAATTTGAAAATGAGTCTGACCTTCCTCTTTATATGCAAAAAGTTTCAAAATTGCTTTATTGGTTTTTCAGAAAAACTTTGAATTGTGCGAGACTGTATTAATAATTATTTCAGTTTTTGTAAGTTGATTTCCAAGATTTTACATGTTGTTATTTTCCACTGGAAAAATTTGAAATTTTGGGAAAATGAGCTTCTCCTCTTTCTCTTTACATGCAATAAGTTTCAAAATTTTCCCTTCAGTAGTTTTCCAGGAAAACTTTGAATTGTGTGAGACAGTATTTTTTATTAATTCAGTTATTGTAGGTTGATTTCTAAAATTCTTCATGTTGTTATTTTCCAATGGAAAAAATTGAAATGAATTGAATAACTGGATAATTAAAAAACCTAATAAAAGTGAACATTTATTAGTTAGTTTTCTGATATTGTTTCAGAAGATCGAGTAAACTTTGAAAGCGCATTGATTATGATTTCAGAAGAGGTACAATATTAAAAATGACCCTGAATGCAAAAGAACTTCAAGCTTCTTGAAGTTGATACAAGTTTATCTGTATCCAAATCCGAGTATCTATGCTAGCATCATATTATGGAAAAAAGGCTGAACGTTAAAAAAAGGGTTTACTTATTTCCAAATTGTTGAAAATGGAATTAGACACATTCATTTGCTGAGGTTCAGATTAAATTTATTGTTTATGGTCTTGAAAACTTGTTCAACTTTTAGGAAAAGGTCCATTTGAAATAAAAAGAAATAATATACCTCCCCTGAATATTGTGAAACAATATACATACCTGTCCAAGCAAAATTGAACTTCGTTGACCAGTCAGAAACAACTACTCCGAGGGCAAATACCCCTACCGGCGTTAAACTACACTGATTGGTCTGAGCTTTCGTTGGCAATAGAAATTGTTAGAAAGATTTTACCAGGTAATGACCAACGTGAATACAGGGACACTTCGGTCCCTGTTTGGGAATTGGCCCACTGAGCAGTGGACTCAGGCTTCCCGTGCCAATCCTTGACGCGTTTCGTCCTTGTTAGGACTCATCAGAAGGACATAGGCTGAAGCTCCCTGTCCAAGCAAAATTGAACTTCGTTGACCAGTCAGAAACAACTACTCCGAGGGCAAATACCCCTACCGGCGTTAAACTACACTGATTGGTCTGAGCTTTCGTTGGCAATAGAAATTGTTAGAAAGATTTTTACAGGTAATGACCAACGTGAATACAGGGACACTTCGGCACGGGAAGCCTGAGTCCACTGCTCAGTGGGCCGATTCCCAAACAGGGACCGAAGTGTCCCTGTATTCACGTTGGTCATTACCTGTAAAAATCTTTCTAACAATATACATACCTACCTAAGTTGTTTAAAAAGTAGCTACATGTCGTGTATTATTCTTGGTATTATACAGTATTATATTTGTTTTATGTCCGTTTCCACCAACTATTTTAGGGGAGCCCTAACGATAAGTATTCCCTAAAATGACATTTTTACATGGAGAAATGTCGGTTTAAGGCATTCCTATCGTTAGGGCTTCCCTAAAATAGTTGGTGGAAATGGCCATTAATTTCCTAAAATGTTTTTTTTTTTTATCAATTAGGTAATAATATCAAATGCGGGTTTAGGTTGGTTTGAACCCCTGCATTCTGGATTACCGAAAACCAATCATTAATTCTAGCTCTAAAGTCAACTAACGTAACCTTGCATTGGATCCTACTTAATAAACTGCTCTTGTATCTAAGCGAAATAAAAATAGAAAAAATAAATTTCTTATCACGAGCAATTTTGGGGATTTTCAGGGAATTTGTAAGAGACATTTGAGGGAAATTTGAGAGGAATTTGGAGGAATTTGCGGCAGTTTGGAGGAATTTGCAGGGAATTTAGAGGAATTTGTGGGTTATTTGGAGAAATTTGTGGTGGGGTATCTGGAGGAATTTGTGGGGAATTTGGAGGAATTTTGAGGAATTATGCGTAAAAAATTCCTCTTTGAGGAATTGTTTGCATAAATTCTGGGATGGTGGTTTACCCCTTGGTAGGGGGTAATCGAGTAAATTTTTTTTCTGGCATTCCACTAACATTACTACTTTTATTTTTTTGCCAAAATACCTTTTTTTTTTTGAAAACAATAATTCAATAATTCCTTTTAAGTAGGTAACTATGTTCATCTTTTTTGCTAAAAAATCTTATCTCAGATGACTAAACGTAAATAATATGTTTCCGGGGTTGCTCCGGGACAAAAACTTAAAAACGAAGAACTAATGGTATACCTTGATCTTTTGCTGTTCCAATCTGTGACGTGACCCCCCAATCTCCCAAATACTCGAGGAGATGAAACGGAATTACCTTTAATGGTACTTATTATTTCTACACGTAATGTGGCTCAAACACTAAATCAATCAAACATCTAAGATTTGCGCGATTGCAATCTCATCAATAGAAAAATCTCATAGCGTGAGGCTGCGAAAAGAATAAACCAAAAGTCAATTATGATTACGTATTAATTTTGTATTCACACAATCTTGCTTTCATATCCGCGTCATTAGCTTTTCAATAGATGCATAATCCCGGCTAATATTTATTTATAATTTGAAAACGTAAAGTACCTACCTATGTATGTATAAAAGTTCAAATTATTAGATTACTTTATTTTCTTTTTTATTTTATAGAGAAAGTCAGGAAATCCAAGATTTTTTTTTTCTTCAAATAGGTACCTTCCTCTTATACGGTTGGGATTATCCTGGCCTATGACAACATAATTTTCTTCTAATCGACTATTTTATTCTGTATATTAATAATTTTAATAAATAATATGCTATCAAATACAGTTTAATAACAATAATTAATTATTGCGAAGTAACTTAAGTTTACAGTTAACAGTCAATCGAAGGCCAATAATTTTCCACAAAGGCGTCCGTAAAGCTGTAAATATGCAATCACAATAAATTTTCGCACCAATCACTTTTAATTGATCGAGATATCTGTGAATAACACTCTAATCTGCCCAAAACTGTGCTCTAGTGAACCCGTAGCAATTAACTAATTTTGGCGACCGCAAGGTGGCTGATAATGGATGCATGAATATGGTTATAGCTGAACCAAATTTAATGGCCAAACGGCTATATCAAAATTTTTCAGGTCCAAGGATTTAATTAAAATCTATATGTACAGTGTGTATTAGCCAAATGGAATAAATTCGATAATAAATTAATGGAGGCTTTTTCGAAAAAACGCTCGGACAAGTCGATTTTGTTTTTTTGCTTAAGATTTTTTCACACCAATTTTTTTATACGGGGTGTTCCAAGAACAGCTGTACCCTTATCAACTTTTTTTGTTAAATGGTACCCCCTGTATATTATGACATTTCTGGATTCTGCGGAAAATTCTAGACATATTGCATGTACAATGTCATATACCCATCTTCAACTGTTTCGGAAATATTGACAGTGGAAAATTGACTTTCTTGTATCCTTGACTGTAAAACCTGAACGGTTGATTTTACAGCAAAACCGATCATACAATTTTGTCTTAGTTTTTCATAAACTATAATTTCACACCAACTTTGAAAAAGTTGATGACGGTACAGCTGTTTGCGGAACACCCTGTATAAAAGAAATGGTGTGAAAAAATCTCGAGCAAAAAAACAAAATCGACGTGTCCGAGCGTTTTTTCGAAAAGTTTTCCATTTATTTATTAGCGAATTTATTCCATTTGGCTGATACACACTGTATAATAGAATCAAGACTCAAAATAATTTGATTAAGGAGTCAATACTTCTGATTTCTAGTAAAAAAGTATGACACTGTGGAAGTCGTAGAGTTTAAATTGAAAAACAAACTAATCGAAAAGTTAGGTATTTCTCATAAATGAAAAATGTCCTTGTGACTTTTAAGTAGTCCTTAAAATAACCATCATCATAAACTAAGACATTATCTGACATGCTGACATTATTACATTTATAAATGCATTTTCGCTGATAAATGGAAAATAATCGCTGGCCTTTGATGTGTAATGGCTTCAAATGATTCAACTATTCCATTAGGGTATAAGCTGACAAATAAATATGCGCAAACTAGAGTTTTCGAAATTTCCGTTGAACTTGCCTGCTTGCTTGCCATCAAAAGATAAATCTACTTTATTACTTTTAGGGACACATTACCAGACATTACCTTATGTTTTTATCAGAAATAAGTTCTTCATCTCCTCTATATCTTGACAAAAAACATGGGTGTATTCAATATTTTAGTCATTTAATATAAATTCATTAAGAATATAGAAAACAATTGGCAGCAACAAATATCTTATGAAAACCTTATAATAATGACAACTTAGTTGCGAATTTTTTCCTTTTAAATAATCTAGTTTATTTTAATATTATTCTAGTGACATCCAATGCCAGGAAATGACGAACTACCAGCAGATGTGCAGAACGCGCAGAAATCTCAGGTAACTAATTTTTTTTTTATGACTATCCTGGATTTACTGTCATATAATCTCTTAAAAAGCTGTCGAATAAGCCCTGTATCTGTAGCTTAACAAAGTATAGGCAAACTAAGGATCCTTTTATCCAAAAATTGTCAATAGGACTCAGATGTAGACTCCACATTTGAACCTGATTTATATAAACTTGAGTTTGGACTCACAACAAGTTTCATCGAACTGATTGAGTTTACAAAATTCACCAATTATTTATGGCTGAATTTTATGTTACAATTCTATTACATATTTTATACTGACTACAACTTACAAACTACGCGCTTTATATACAAAATTGATCACCTGAGAAATTTTTCTAGAATTTTCGTTAATTCTTGTTTATGTTGGTAAATTACACAGTGGAAACGAATTCCTGAGTATTCGCGCTCCGGTCTTGCATAGTGGCGTGGACTTTTCCTTACAATGTTATTTCGTAATACTGCCTCCCTCTCAAATCATATCGTCCCGATCTGACGTAATCATCTTCATAATCCCAACTATCCATATGCTCAACATCTCTATGATTGTGAAATAGATGCTCTTTAGAATGTCTTCCTGTTGATCCAGGTCTACCCTCACGTCTCCGTGGTTCCTCTTATCAAGGACTGACGTCACGGGAACTAGAAGTATGGCCACCTAGAGCATCTGTTCGAAGGACTAAATTGACCACCTGCTTTAGCAGTCGTGTCTCAGTTTCCGATTTTTCTTTTTTCGTTGGCCATATTTTTCTTTTCTCGACAGTTTATTGCCGATGTATCACCGGTTTCCTTTTTGAATGGTTTGATGTCACTATCTTCTAATTGATCATTCCTAGGCTGCACTCCAGTCTTAATCCGCTTCAAATCGGAGGATCCTAATCCTGCTTGCATCAAACTGGGCATAGAGCAATTTAGTTTACCACTGAGGGCTGGAAGTTATCAGAAGGAGAGCGATATTTCAGCAGTACGTCACGTATAAATTGTCTCCTTCTCCCGAAGTGGTAACATTGTGTGCTTCCTTTCAAGTTGTCTATTGAAGGCTGAGAGTCACCAGAAGAAAAGCGAGATCGCAGCCCTACTCTACAGTCACGTTTAAAATGTCCTCTTCTGCCGCCCCTTGATTGCTTCTGATAACAACCTTATGTATGTTTTCCAGAAGTTCCTTCATTGTGTCTCCCTTTTCTCCTAATTGATCTTTTTCTTCTTGCATTGGTACACCTCTGATCTTTGGTTTGAATATGTTATACGCCTCTTTGATTTCTAGGGCTATATGATTAAGTCTTCACTTCTGCTTGATTTGATTATGAGTAAAATCTTAGAATTAAAAATATATGGATGTATTTTTAATTCTAAAATTTTCGGTCGCTAGTTGTTCTCACATTGCTGCCGTTGCTTCTGGTTAGGCCAAACTAACCAGACGTCGGATATCGGTTCCCAATTCTTATAAACTCTAAACAGCTTTTCCGCTGTCTCGTTCTTAGCAGTACCCGGTATAAAGCTGCCGTTGAAGGCTCTCACGCATCAATAAGTGCACCCTAGTTTTGTTGGAAAGCTGGCTTCAACCATAGGCCATTGCAAGAGTCTCGGACTGATGGCTCTACATCGCCCACGATGCCTGACGGACGTATGGCGGTAGTTAATTTTTTGATACCCGTTGCAGGCGAAGCTGAGACATTTCCTGACCGCAAGTCACATTGCACTTTTTTTCTATTTATTCTGAACAGTATCCGTTTTTTGGCGAAAAATTCAATTTATTTTCTTTACTTTTCAGTATTTTCTCGTGTCTGGTTTGTTCCTCGGGGACGGTTTGAATCCATTCTCGCCGAAAGCTAACATTTTCTTGATGCCGATTACGTTCTTCTTGTTTTCTTTTGATCTTTGACCTTCTTGTTGTTCTAGGAGTGCTGAAAGTTGGTCCTGTTCTTCTTGTTTTTCTTCTGATCTCCGATCCTCTTGTTTTTGTAAAAGTGCTGCAAGTAGATCCTGTTTTTTTTTTCTGTGTTCGTCCTTCCTCTTCTTGACTTTGTTTTTGTCTTTCTGCTTCCTCTTCTTGTTTCTTGTCTTCGATAGTTTTCATGAAGTCCAGCAACGTTTGTTTGACCAGGCAGTTTGCTGTCGCGTTTCTACCATGGAATACTCTGTTTCTTTCTTGAAACTTGACGTTTGATATACACTCGGATAGATAGTCCTGTGGCGATGTCAAAATTATCGTACTTTGTCTAATTTCCAAATGGAACTTTGATTGACTGTTCTAGCAAAATCATTGCGTATACTTGTTTTTAGTTGTCTGGACCAGTACCAAAGTCACTATCCTGGTATAACTTTAGGTTTTCAAATAGAATGTTCTGGAATTTTTTCAGAAAACCTGTTTGTGAACTTGTTTTTCGGTGTCATCAAGATTTTTGGGGGGCTGGGCTTTCTGCTTTTTAGGCGGAGTGGGGCTTGTGGATGGGCTATGTTCAGAGGCGGCCTCTTTTGATTTTGGGGTATTTAGAAGTGGGTGGTCGTTCCACTTCCAAAGGATTTCAGTTTTGAGTGAGGCTCTGAACTTTGGGTTTGAGAGAATCCATTTGGGTTTGGATTGTACGAACATATATTTTTTGACTTTTTCCGTCATTAATCTTAGTCAGGTTATACCTAGGAATTGAGTTATGAGTTTTGCAGAGACTGGCTACTATAACGAGGCGGCGGATTTCGTCTTACCCTTGGATAAATTTCTGACATGCGCAGTCCCACTTGCCACAATCTCACTATCACTGACATATTCTTCGGACTCAACATCTGAGTAGGGCGATGACAGAATTTTGAGAACTCTCGGCATTTTTGGATGGTTTGCTGCTCGGAGGTCGGCTACTCTTGAGAGCAGGCCGAAATTTGAAAAGCCCCTGTGTTGCTAGTCTCATCTGGCTTGTTCCGATTGTTCGGTCCGGACTCTGGACGACGATTGTAGAATAATTACATTGATAGGTTGAGGTCCAGGAACCAAAAATTTTTTTTCTTCTTTCTGAGAATCAGAAGTTGAATAAAAAAATAGTCTCAGACTGATTTCTAGTTCCCGTTCAGTCAACAAACTTGAAAAACTAGAAATTTCAAAATAATTCTACTGTACCACTGTACCTAATCAGTGTTTTTTTTTTTGCATTCGTCAGACCTTTCAAATATGGCAATTATAAATAATTGCTATATTATTGAATTTGTCTGCAATTTCAAATTTACTTTCATGCAAATACAGCGATGTTTTCTTGACCTTTATTCCTTTATTATCCTCAAATGATTTTTTTATTCGACTTGAGATTTATAAGCTTATGTTTTGACTTAATTCTTCTGCGATGCCTTTCTTGCAAAAATATGTAAAATTATTTATTACTGTGGAAGGTTGTTTCCTAACAAGGTTCTATTATTTATTAATAACTTGTCAAATAGTAGGAAAATGTCTAAATATATGCTAACAGATATTTCTATGTTTGCTGTGCTTTAAAATCATATTATTGCGTACAAATTTTGATTGCTTATTTCCACTCTTGTTGCCAGAGTTATAGATACCTAATTAAATTGCTAAAAGCTCATAATTGCTAATTTCGCGGCTCGCAACATATCGATTAATCTTTTGAATGTTACCAAACATCAGGGTATTTATTAGCCACATTGATCCAATTATTCAGGTTTTTATAATAAACAAATGTATAAGATTTACAATTTACGTTCGCATCATTTATTTGTAGTAAGTAGGTACCTAGGCATAATAATAGTCGGTATAACGTAATTCTGAGAATTTCCAGTCAATGGTGTATGTATTATTAATACTATTTTCGTAGGCCCCAAAAACGTGTACCACGTGTGAAACTGGGCGTTTTCCGCTCTTCTATAAACATTTTTTATTATCTCACAGCGTTATTTATATGGTATACCAATGCTACGGGTACATTCTCTGTGCATTCCTTCACAGTTAGTTAAAATTTTCTCCCAGAAAACATTTCTGATGAAATTGATTTCAAATTTTGAATGTTAACTTGGATGTGAATATAGTATCTTATTTCATTAGATAATTTTATTCGATTTCTATTTCTGCTAATTCCAAATAACTTCACTACAAGTACATGTATTAATAATTTTTATCTTTAAGCGGTCCATAATTTGAACTTTATTGTCGTCCACACTCGAAACAGAAGTAATCCATCATATTCCTAGGACCATAAAAATCTTTATGTATGGGCTAATTTGTTCGATTTTTTCTCGCTAGAGGCAGCAGCGCCAATCAGCGCTATTATGTTCTTGTATCAATTTTACGTTTTCTTCTCGCTGGATGGCAGCGTCAACGACCAAGTTCTCAAGGGCATATTTTATTTATTTTAAACTTTTTTGTTCAATATTATAATAGTTATTTATGTCATTAGGCCAAGAACAGTGGCGTACCATGCCTTGTAAGTCTGGGGGGGGGGGGCAAAACATTTTGGGGCGCGCGGCCGGATGGTGGATGGGAGTAATCCTGTTTTGTTAAAAAAATATTCTCTATATCAGCTTAAGTTATATATTTATTATTTTAAGTAATGATTAAATGGCTCTTAAATATCTCTTTTTAATATCCGATGGACCTTCTCTGCATTTCAGTGATTCCCAAACAATCAATTAAGTTATTTCCAATTTCACCTTTTAAATTTGACATAAAATGCTAATTTATTTTGTAAAATGAAGGGGGCGCAAATGCATGGGGGGGGGGGCTGGCGGCCCCCCCAGCCCCCCTGACAGCGCGCCACTGGCCAAGAAGTGGTGCTTTTGTAATTAACTGAACGTTTGAACACAATCGAGCGAAGCACAAAAAGACCTTCTGTGCCGAACGGCATGCAACATTTTATCTTCAAGCGACTGCACAATCCTCCTATTTTTTTGTTTGCGACAATCGACTAGGTATTCGACTAATCGACAGTCAACTAATAAATATTTCATCTGTAATTAGCTTGGATAATAATTGTCAGTTGTTCGGGTTAGGTTAAG